TCCTCGTATGGGAGAGTGGGTAAACCTTTCATTCTTGGCAAGGGTGGATTCTGAGACCAAAATGTTCTAACAGCTAACTTACAACTTATTCCCTGACTTCGGCCGCTGCGCTATATCTTCATATGTTTATATATCTATTTATAACCCGCCCATTAATTTTTGCGCGATTTCATTGGCTACTTTATGTCTCGTGGTGTGTTACCGGACAGGTATCACGCAATAACTCCCGTTTGCGTCGATATTTGTCCTGAAGAAACAAATTCAGCGGAAAAAGCCACCTCAAGAATTTTACTAGTCATCTGTTAAGTGGAGGAAAGATAATCTCGTTTTTTAGATTCCAGTGATGTGTGACATTAAACGCTGGTCGTAAATGCTGTTCCAGAAAGCACAAAAAGATCAACAATGATTTTTGTTTGTTTGTTTGTTTGTTTTTTATGAGCGATTTTGCGCAGTATGAAAATTAATGCGAGGGTTATAAAACAAATAAATCCCCTTTCTGGTTTGCTTGTCGGCTAATAATGTACCTGGCCTGAGAGATTGTCTTAAAATATCACATTTACGCTAAAAAGTTTCGCTTCTCGGCCAAATATTCTTTTTTCAAACAAGCTAGCCGCCTGAAGGGGTTTATTTACTTAAGTTCGGTATTATTCTCGAAATTGTTTACTTTACAAATTGAGAAAGTTCTGTTCCATAGTGTCGCTATCGAGCCTGTTTCAAAAGTTGAATAAAGATCAGAAACAAGAAAAAACAGCAAAAGAAACGGTGGAAGAGCCTATTGCGCCAACTACATTTATGAGTTGATAAAGAATTATACCGGATTCTTTATTATTGGCTCTTCAGCCAAAGTGTAATTTTTCCAAACGTAATGCATCTCGGAATATTGATTTATTTCAACAGCCGTGATTTTCTGCTTTGAGTACAGCAAGCAGTTACCTTTAGCGTTAGCACACCAACTACCGATTTTCTTGGGGTCGCACATCACAAACGCCAGACAAAATGCATCTTCACCACAATAGGAAATACACTCGGAAATATTGGAAACCTGCTTCTCATCACGGCGTTGCTGAACTTCTTTGACTTTGAGATCTTTCAGAACAAAATTTTCCTTTAATCGTTGCAGTCTCGACAGGAACACCACCAGTTTGGAATTCGTTTTAAGCGCTGTAAGATCCTTTGTCGTGTCGAGAAGCTTGCACCCCCTCCGCGCAGAATGCTGGACTGCCACGCACTTCTCATCTAAGAGACAAATAGCTCTACAATCTCTCTCATCCACGTTTGTCAAATATCTATAGCCTAAAAGAAAGCAGAAAATGAAAATTTTTCACTCAGAGTTGTGTTAACAGTTCTAAAACCCTCGGAAAGTTATCACATGTCCTACTGAAGAGTATTATTAAAAAGTGTAATGATGGGCATCCTTGCACAATTTGTTTTGTTTCTTTACCTTTTTTATTGATTAATATACTTGCATGCGTGGAAGAAATCAAATTTTAGCTGATCGGCACACTATAAATCTGGCTCGTGAGAGAGCACCCTTAAAAACAAAATTCCAGGTAACTATTGCACTATCCAAAAAGCTTGAAGAAGTATGTTAACTTCTCCAAAGAAAGTCTTAGACATTAATTTTCAGAAGAGTTTTGAGCTTGAGTTTTGACATCTTGTGAAACCCTTATGAAATTTCCGCAATCCCTATCCAAAGTCAAGTGTAAAAAAATGTCGCGAAAAAGTCCACGTTATAACAAAATTATCTTGCGGTTTCAAACTTTATCAAAATTCCTATATCTTTCTGATGATGTAAAAGTTTGACACACAAAAACAAACAATCAAAATAAATTCGGCAACACTACCAAAAGTCGTTACTCCAATGTTTTCCAGTGAAATGCCCAAATGAATGTCGTCGTCACACGAATCTACCCGTCCCTCTTTTTTTAGAGCTTGGCAATAATTTTTTGAGGCATTCTTGATCATCTCACGCACAACATCCAAGTTGACGCCAGGAAGATGCTTGGAATATCTCTCAGTAAACAGGTTATGGATGGGCGTTAGAGTGTACTTTATTGGAACTGGATTCTCTTGGACAGAGGAAGCCCACGTCATAGCATCGCCGTTGCTCGGGGGAGCTGCTCCTACAGTGATTGTGCTTGTCTCCACAGACTTCTGAAAGTTGTGAACAGCAGATCTTTGCTCTGAGTCCATTGAAAATCCCCCTCCAATACTGAAAAGCCCTGAATAGCTAGCTTGTGCTTCTACACTAATTTTCT